GAGGGGTCCCGGGGGAAGTCGAACAGCACCACGTGCTCCACGTGCGCCGAGTCGATGCCGCGCGAGGCCCGGTCCGTGCACACCAGCACCATCTTGGGCCCGCCCATGGGAGGCGCCAGGAACGTCTGCAGCACATGCATGCAAGCAACTCAGCCGTCTGTACAAGGCTCCGGAGATTGACAGCTTCGGGGCTGCAGAGCTGTGCAGAATGCAGCGCAGGAAATGCACATGACATATGGCACTGACTGATGAGCCGGTGGCCACACCTTGAGGGCTTTGCTGCGAACGCCGTCCTCTATGGCGGCATGGTAAGGCAGCACCACGAGCTCCTCCTTGTTCGCATCATCTCCCTTCCTTTTCAGCAGATTCTCCACCTTGCGGCACGTCTCGATCTTGTTGCAGAAAACAATCGTCCGACTGGCACCCTGCCAGGCACACAGGACTCTCCAATAACGTTTCTGATCACCTACTCCCCTCGGTCATTTGCTTGAGAAGTCATTTGTTCAGACTGGCTGACTGTGTCTACCTGTCTTTGTGCATGTGCCCTGCCGTTGTTACTGCGAGTGCTTGGGGGGACTGCCGAGACAGGAAATTGAATAAGTCAACTAACATGCACTTGAAATGCACACAGCCCAGTCAGGGTGGAGCCTGTGTCCCTGGTTTCCCTTATTGCAGATATGGCTGCACTACAGTCCAACCCAGTCTTGTTACTCTTGCCAGCCATGCGGGGCGTGGAGGAGCAATTGGAGGTTGGTAACATACCTGCTCCTTGAGGACACGCAGAAGGGCTGCGGCCTTGCGCTCAAAGCCGGTCTCCTCATTGATGACGTCACCGCCGCTGCAGTCCACCAGCTGCTCCAGCACGCCTGGCGCCGTGCGATGCAGCCCTGCCACAGCACACGACCCGCCCTCAATCACTACTGCTGGCCCCACCGAGCGCACGTACATACTTGCCAGTACATAAACCCCCCAGCCACAGAGCCCTCAACGCCTGCCGGAAGCAGCGCCCACTGCCACAGAGCAGCCCTAGTGGGATCAAGTGACTTGGAAAAAAAGTCTTGAGGAAGACCAGGAAAGGGCAACAAGACACCCGCAGAGGCTTCAACTGTGGTCATCCCCTTCTTGGTGGCAGACTCAGGTGATGGCAGAGGCGGCGTTTGGGATGTCTGAACCACGTACCGGGCCCAAAGGCAGGGGTGATGCCGGGGAAGTCCTGCTGCAGCTGCAGGTACACCGGCTCTGCCAGCGTGGCCGTCACCAGCACAAAACGCGTCGATTCCGGCGCCGCCGAACGCAGTGGCGCCACCTGCGCACGGAAGATGAACTATGTCACAACGTACTTTTCTGGCACAGCTAGAGGCAACATCTCACACTTGCCTGCATGTACGGCCAGGGTGAACACTGCCTTGAACTCACCTGAACAGAGAACTTCTTGCTGAGCTGAACATGAACACCAACTTGAGAATTAATTTGAGAACAATGCCTGGACAGAAAATCGCTGCATCAGACGACAACATATGCAGCTCATCAAACCCAAGGACGCCAGCCTCAGTGAGGAAGTCTTCACCTTAACCCCTAGGCGTCACATCAGCGGCAACGCATGCATTAATGCACACTCAAGAAACACAGTCACCCCATTCAGTCAGTTTGATCAGATGACAGGAATTGCAGCTGACCAGATCAGGCTTCAGCATGCAGGGCATGCTCAGCATGCAGCCAGTGCGGCGCGCGCACCTGCTGTGCAAAGGCAAAGGTGTCTCCCAGCAGGACGTCGACCTCGTCCAGAACCACAGCGCGGCACTGGTCGAGGCGCAGGTTGCCAGCCTTGATGTGCTCGCCCAGGCGGCCTGGAGTGGCCACCACCACATCCACCCCTTCGTCCAGCGCCTCCTTCTGGGTCTTCCACTTGAACCCCCCTGCGCGCGCCGCCATCACACCTTGTGCACCTTATCTGACTTCTGTGAGGCTTTCACATATAATTCTGCTGAGAGTTCTGCTTTAACACAATCAAATTGCTGAGAAAATAGAGCAATTAATACGAACATGGAGTTCATGTCTCCAAAGTGCCCTTCCCACGAAGAGCAGTTGAAAAGTGACTACCAATGACAGTTCACTGTTGTATGTTGAAGACATCAACCTACTGTTGAGGGTCCAAAGGCGCGCAGACATACATCCCTCCCAAGCAAGCATGCGAGACACAAAGGACGTAACAGGATTGGTATTGCCAAGCAAGTGTAGTTGAAACAGGAGAAATCTGTAGTCTGCAGACAGCCACAGACGCCCGAGTGGCAGATCTCACCTGTGAGTGCGATGGCACGGAAGGGCGCTCCCTTTGCCAACCCACGGGCGACCATCAAAACCTGCAACCATGCAAAGCCGGTCACTACCACCGTCCAACTGTCATTGAGTCCCTCCTGGCAATCCTCATCCCCAAAAGCACACAAAACCCGCCTCCAGTGGTGCGTTGAGCTGGAGACCGACATGCATGCTAACTTTGCCTCTTGGCACACAACAGCCGAGTCACAAGGCTAATGTATCAAGGGTACAGAAGCAGGCAGTGCAAGCACCAGGGGTGAGAGGAAGGGCTGCACCACACATTAGGAATCGCGCAATATGCCATGAATACCCATTGCCTTGGGATAAAACCGAGGGGGCAGGGGCCTTTCTCAAGCAGTCCTATTGAGTCGGACTTTCCTAGGGCGTCATTCTCCTAGGTCGCATTGCAAACTAGATGTAAGGAATCTATGCATGCCAGATGTATGATAAAAATCGACTCCACATGGCGATGGGTGGCGCACCTGGGCGCAGAGCTCGGTGGTGGGGGCTATGATGATGACGCGGGGCGCGTTGCGCATGGTGAGGCTGTCGCATAGACTCTGCTCCTCCTCACGCAGCGCCTGCACCAGCGGCAGCAGGTACGCCAGCGTTTTGCCACTCCCTGCACCCAGCACCCCCCATTCCTTCAATGCTGGAGCCCTGGGGACAGTGGCCTAGGCTGCTGCGCTGACTCTACAGCAACCGGCATCACTCATGAATGGAAGCCCCAAAGTTTGTGATCCGCTCTGCAGCCAGACAGCGCCGTGCACCCCAACGTCAAAAGAGACTGTGGTAGTTGCCTGCCGTTCCAAAAAAGCCTGTCACTAGAGACACCGCTCGCAGCATACGAGATGACATGTGCATGTGCACTGCAGGGGGCACCAGTAGAAAATTTGTGCATGGCGCAGGTGTGCGATGTTCCAAGGCACACAGCATGCAATGTTGGGCACAGAAGGAAACGTGCCACAAGACATGCTGAAGGGTGGTGGAATAGCAGCACCTGCATGGTCGGCCAGGACGATGTGCCGAGCGCCAGACATGAGCACTTGGTAGGCGGCCGCCTGGATGAAGGACGGCCGCTCGACGCCGATGCCCCTCAGCGCCTTGACAATCTCGTCGTTGGCGCCCACATCCTTGAAGCTGGACTGCGCCCCAGCATCCAGGACACCCTTGCTCGTCTGTTTGACAAAGTCTTCTGCCAATGCAAAGCTGGTGCTGGGCTCGTCAGGTGGTGTGCCCACTGGACGGCCCTGAAACAAGCTGTGGGGCCTTGCAGACATCCAGGCATCCTTGGAGAAAGGGCCAAATGGGAGATGGCTGTCACCTGCGTGAAAAAGGTTGCTGTGCTGCCCGGGCCCCTGCGCACGAGGGACGCGCCAAAGAGGTTCTCGTGGGAGGCTGCGCGCTCGCTGGGTACCTTCCTGGAGGTATGCCGCTGCTGCAACGACACCTGCAGCACGCACAGCCAGCCTCTCTCATCGTCACATTGAGCAAACCACTACTCGCTGATGCATGAGGAATGAAAGCTGGCCCATGTCCCCAAGGATATGTGTTACTGCTGCACCTGGGCATGCTCGGGCGAGGACAAGTGGGGCCTTGGTGGTCTCCTGTCCTGCACTCTCCTCTCATCTGAGCCTATCCTGCCGCCTCGCTGCTTGACAAACGCATGCGAGCTGTTTTCACTCTGGTTTCTGTCCCTGTCCTGGCGGAGGCCCGTCCTGGGATTCCTGCTGAACCTCCCCCTGCCAGAGGGTTGTGCCTCTGCCATTCTGTTCCGCCCGCTGGGGCCGGCTGAGCCGGGACTCCTCTCTGGCGCAGGCTGAGGCGGCTCATCAGCGCTGCGTGCGCTGGCCACTCCCTGCTGCTGCTCTGTCTGCTCCCTATCTGGACCTGCTCCCGACTCAGCTGGGCGAGCAGGGCTCAGTGGTATGAAGACGTCTGGCACTTTGGTATTGTTGGTCCTGCTCCTCGAGGCTGGCCGGACGCGGCCTGCAGCACAGACCTGGAGGGGCCGACGACCCGGCCAGTTTCCTCCCCTGTGCCTGGTAGGGCAGGAAACAGCGAGTGGGCGCAATTATGCGGCAGCTTGAAAGATCCCGAGGATGCTAAAAATTCATGTTTCTGTCTATGCCGTTCCGTGCATTGTGCAATTCTCCTCAGGTGGACGTGTGCATTGGCAAAGCCATCTATCCCAGCCCGTCGTCTAAAATTTATCGTCCACCACGCAGACTGTTGCACTGCATAGTAAAAAATTCCACATGGCTGATTATCACACCAGCATTTGAAGTTCAAATGCAGGGAATGAAGTCCTAGCAACCCAGCCTCCTTTGCTCTCCCACCTGGTTATGAAGACAAAAGTTCCCCAGGCGCATCCTGAGTCGCATGTCAGCATTGTGGGGCCTGTCAATGGTTGACCGATTGATGCTATACCATGTCCAAGAACGATGCAATATCTGGGAAGCGCTGAGGAACGGAATACAGTGCTGGCAGCAGCCTCCGCGTCACGCAGCAAAACCACCGCGAAGAGGGTGGAGCTTGTCTTGCTTTGACATGCACCAGGGAATGAAAAGGTTTTCTTTCTTGCTGCGTTCCAAGACGAAGCCTCCTTCTGGCTTCACCGCTTCGTCCGAACGACACTGTGGATTGTGTGGTCATATTTGCTAGAAATTCCGTTCTGGACAATTGGGAACATGGTCTAGTGGTATGATACTCGCTTTGGGTGCGAGTGGTCGGGGGTTCGATTCCCCCTGTTCCCCCCATTTTTGTGTATCCGTCCTGTTCCAGCCCTCGCCCTCGGGTGGGCCCTGATGTCAACAACTTCTGAGTGAGAAGAAGTTAAGTATACGGGTGAAGATCGCGACCATTGCCACATGCCTGTACAAAGGTACCTGTGCAGCTGTACATCTACATGCCAAGCTAAATGACCGCACGGTGCGGATCATGCACACGGCATGCGGTCCGCACCTTATGGATCATGGTCCATTTTTTGAGCTGGTCCCAGTTGGCACAAAGCAGGGTGAAGGCATGTCAATCAGTACACAGGAAAGCCATGCAGAAGACGAGCCAATAGAGTGGTCCACGTGCACGTTAAGCTGCAGAGTCATCACTGACTTGACAGTTGAGCTCACATGGCCACGCTCTAGACAGCTTTCCTGTACACTGTTTTACACCATAATGCTCATCCACATCAGCCTACGCTTTCGAAACCTACAGTTCTTTTCAATCATTGAGGATTGTTGATGATCGATGATCACACCGTCCGGCTACTAATTCACTGCCCGATTCTGCACCCTTTCCTGTTTTTCTTACTTCAAAAAAGCACTCTGCCCACAAGTTCCCGGCTAAAGAGACCAGTTGACACCCTCAATCACCCAAAAGTTCAGTAAGGGGCATGCTTGGCTGATGTATCAATGCTCAGTCTTCGTGTCAGCCGAATGATTCATTCCACCATTCGCTGCATGATCAACAGAGCGTACCCACAAATATGACTGATGAAGGACGACGCCAGAATCATACAAATATGTGGGCAAATACGGAAGCAGTTCTGTGGCCAGATAAAGACAGAGCCTCCAGTTGGGGATTGGTCTAAGAAAATAACCTTCATCAATGACCAGTCAGATCAGCCCACTCTCAGCAAGTCGCTTGAATATGTGCATCAGGGTCCACTGCAGACAGCTGAGTCTCTGCTTCAGCTGATCACAATGTGCTCCTGGATGTCCTTCTCAATTTCCAGGACCTTGGCGATGGCCTTGTTCACATCAGGGTCCCACACCATGAGCTGCCACACACACAACCAAGAGAGTGTGTTCAGGCTGATTTGCACACAGGAAAAGGGGACTTCAGACAACAGGACATCCATGTGTCCGCATCAGGCATATATCTGACCAAAAAACCCACAAGGGGTTCACTGCAGGGGCACGGGGAGGGTTACCTCGGCGACCCAAGTCGGCAGGCCATCCTCGACGCAGACAACCTTGGAGCCCTTCTCGACGATTGCTCGCGCATAGATGACATGCGGATCGCCCTGGAACTTCTGCAGGACACACCACCTCCCATCATTGATGAGCCAAGTGCCACAGTGCATCACTGGTGTCTGACAGGGGAAAAGCAGACCCAATGCAGAAACCTTGTCAAAGCTGGCCCTGGTCTCTCATTCAATAACTAGCTGCACGGAAAAGCATGTGGCAGATGGAATGGCACTCACATCTACCCAGTCGGTGTTCTGCAGTGTTCCCGTCTTCTGGGCGTTGACTGAGAACTCGGCGATGCACTTCTGCGGGACCTTGGACAGGTACGGACGTGAGGGAATGCCGCAGGCGCCCAGAAATTGCTCCTCCACCAGGTCCACACCCCACACAAACTGGTTCATCGCGTACACCGGTCCACCGCCCATGCGAGAGTTGACCTGCATGCATGCATGCAGCAGATACAGTGCCTGCGCATGAGTGAAGATATGCTGATACAGTACTGCAATGGAAGACTGTCATCCAGGGTCATGCCATGTCACACATGTTACAAGCCAGACTCATACTGAGCGAGGTACAGCTAAGATGCAATATGCAAACGGCGTCCTCGAGAAATTTGGCTTTCATGCTTGGGAGTGGCAGTGGCTGACCTCTATGAGCTGGGGGCCGTTCCGGGAGGTGTACTTGCACTCCACATGGAAGTTGCCGACGACAAAGCCCATGCACTTGACGGCGGCTACGGACAGCTGGCACAGCTCGCGCTGCTGCTGCAGGCTGAGGATGGAGGGGCAGTTGGAGCCGGTCTCATTGAAGTAGGGCTCGATGGTGGGCCAGTTGTCGGTCACATTGCCGTAGACGACGTCCCCATCCGAGTTGAGCAGGATGTCCACATCCACCTCTGGGCCGTCCAGATACTGCTCCATCATGAACGTCAGCTCTGCGCGCCCGCGCGCCCTCTGCGCACATTAGGAACATGCGCCAGGTGAGTTCTCTGCCGAACATTTGACCTGCAATGGGCCTGGCAAGCTCACAATGCATGCAGTGCAGAAGCATACTTCACTTTCTGAGCAGAGCATTGTGATGCTCTAATGGAACTGACGCAGCAAGAGATCCTATCAGGAAGTGGGAAGAATCTGCCCGTTGCTCTGCATTGATAAGAATCCGCCCGTTGCTCTGCATTGATTCCATGGAAGAGTGGGCAGGACGTTCTGATGAAGAACAATAATGACAGAGCAATGGTCACTGCAGAGATTTGGTGTTTGTTGTGCACCTCCTGCTCAGCAGTCTTCTCGTCCAGGGTGGTTGTGTTGGAGTCAATCGCCTTGGCCTTGATTTTCTTGCTCTCCCTCCCATACACCCTGCGCCAGCCCCTGACCTTGTGAGAGTAGGGCTAAAACTCTCAGTTCTCCCTTATGTGGGCAGGGCTTGGAAAAGCTGCACATTACCATGAAATGCAGATGGGCGGTCATTCCACTCACTTCTGAAGCTGCTCCAGGGAATCAACCCGTACGACTCCCTCTGAGGCGGCACCTGAAATGGGCTTGATGACAGCAGGGAAGCCCACAACCTCGGCTGCTTTTGTGATGTCCGCAGCGCTTTTGATCAAGTGGTTTGCAGGTGTGGGGAGCCCAGCAGCCTTCATGCATGACCGTGTGTTCTGCGCATGCAAATCGACATCATCGCAATACTTGGTGAATGCTAAGTCGTCAGAAGAGCATCCTTCTGCAACAATCTTGCCACTTGTCACTGTTGCATGCACAATTCGGCCTGAAGCAATATCAAGTGCGGTCAGTAGCAGGTTGAGAAGGCCAACCTGCTTTTCCCTGGCGTTTTCAACAGCACCAGGAGGGTGCGAAAGCAGCCCGACGCGCTCTGCAAGGGTGGCCACGAGCGCCTGTGCAGCTTCCCAGAAACTGCAGATGCCATCCACCTGCCCAAGCTCCTGCAATCATAAAAACTTAAAATCAGCTTCCTGCAATGAGTAACTCATGTGCATATTAAGCTCAACCTCGAGTTTGCTCCTCTTGTCTTGCCACATGACGCTGCAAACAGGACTGATGGAAGGGAAAGGGTAGACTGATCACCTTCTCTGCCTGCTTAATCCTGGCCAGGCACTTGTCAAAGATGGCTGCCTCATCTGTGAAGTCCACGGGGTAGAACTTCTCTATCACTTTCTCACCCACCAAATTCTTCGCCCAGCTATCTGGCCCATCAATGATCACCACCCTACAGCAAACAAGAAAGTCATTAGACATATACTTTGAGTTGCAAAAACAAAGACTGAACATCGGCACACTGGCCTGCACTCAACTTGTAGAAGGGTACCAAATAGCTCACCTGATGCCGAGCTCATGAGCACGTTCATAAATGAACCGCTTTCCAGAGTAACCTGCCACCACGATCACAATGACACAGCCCTTCAACAGAGATCTCCGCAGCGCCCTTCCCGCCCTGGTTGGTGCTGACACTTTTGCCTGCATGCAGCAAAAAGGCAATATGAGAGCATTGTTCACAATACTTTCTCAATATGTACATGTCAATTCAACACTTTCTCAATATGTACATGTCAATACAAACAAGGCACACATGCTTAAGCTCATGAACATAGACTGCTGCAAGAGGCAGAGTGCCGCACCGGAGTCTGGCTCTGAACTTCCCTCAGCGATGCTGACATGGGGGTGTTGCGCGAGATGGACATGCGCTCCTCGCTGCTCAGCGCCTTGGGCAGGGATCCGTACATGGTTGGCGACAGAAAGTTGGCAGCAATGTTGGGTCGCCCCATCTGCTCCCAATGCAAACGATCCTCCTGCAAAAACCAATGCACTTTGTTGCCGCTTGGCTACTGCCCTTCCAGCTTGTCTCCCTCAATTAACCTCAGCAGAGAAGCAACCTACGGGTAATGCACTGTCAAAGTTGCACCAAATGCATACCTCTGACTCGTAGATGGCGGGTATGCGCTCATGGCCACTCAGTTTCCTGCTGTTGGGCTCAAAGTCAGCCTGTTGTAAACAGACATAACGAGCAGTATCAGTACTACCTATGGTGTTGTCACATCCGTAAAGATTTGGATCCATGATCAAGAGTAATCGCCAGTCCATGTTATTTCGGGTTACCTCAAAAGTACTTCTCTTTGCTTTCTTCCAAACCAGGTACACATGCTAGCAAGGGAAAAAGTTCTAATTCAAAGCAATCACGCGAGACTGCACTATACAATGTCAAACACGTCTAAAGAAAATACAGAAATCAATTGTTGTGCTTTGAATTCCACTGGAGGAAACAAGCAGGCGGGGACAACCCTAGATGTGCCAGTCCATAGGATAGGTCTGCAAGAATATTTATTTGAAGTCAAGCAAAACTGGAGATCCGCAAGTACTGACAGTCTACTTACCACAGGCGTCCCGGAACGGGATTTCAAGGATCCGATCCCCTGCGTCCCAAGACTCGTGCCCAATGCCAAGCTCTCGAGCTCAGCAACGAAGTCATCTTCAGCTCCGGAAGATTGATATAGGCCAGGAAAAGCACTCGGGGGCAGTGGGATTGATGATAGGTCAAAACCCGATGCAGTAGCAGCCTTGGGAGGTGCTTTTAAGCTGTCTGCAAGCGCTGAGGAAACTCCCTGATCGACGGTGGGCTTTTTGAGAGCAGCGGACAGAGCCGATGTCATCGTGCCGCAGAGGCACCCACAAAAGGAGACCTACGCTGAACCAAGAATGGAGAAGCAAGGCGGTGCAAACCAATAAGTAATTGCACGAAAACGACACACCCTGAATCACATGGGACGATCACGCCAC